GTGACGTTTGAACCCGCGCGGTTGGTTTAGAAGGCCAGGCGTCCGGCCTCGGAGCTGCACGCGTGTTTCTCTGAGGGTGAACAGACTCTGAGGGTGGCTTGGGGAGCCGAGTCAGGCCGTGGCCTTCCCGGGGCACCGGCCCTGCTCCCACACACGCCGGCCGTCTTCTGTCCCGAGAGGCAGTTCATGTCCACAAAGGCTCCGCTCCGAGCCTGCAAGTGAGTGGTTCTCAGTATATTCACAGGGTCGTACGACCACCACCCGCTCTCCATCTGCGTGGATCTGCTGTTCCGGACACGTCACGTGGACGGAACCAGGGGCTGCGTGGCCTTCCGTGTGGCTCAGCATCGCAGATAGCTCGGCACCGCTTTCCGGGCCTGAATGCCTCCCGTGCACGGATGGGCCACACACACACGTCCTGCTTTTCCCTCCCGAGAGCACCCGGGGGCTCGCTCGTCCCACATCGCGGGGGTCACTGCACACCCTTCGGCCCGTGGGACACGCTCCGGAGTAGTTCTGTGCCCTCTCTTCATTGAAAAACTAAAAATCCGATTTGTACCAATGCAGAAAACGGCTAAACCAATTTCCATTTTTGAGGGCAGCTCAAAACAACGACACATGTTTTCTGCGAAGCCTCGGGCTTCTTGTCAAATTTGAAACGACAGCGATTTAAAGTGCCTGACTTTCTGGATTCTTCTCAGCAGAAAGCGCGGTTTCCAGCCTACGGTGGAAGCAGGTGGAGGGAGGGAGACAGCAGCACCGGGAGGGGGGAAGCTCCGTAGCTCAGAGAGCCGCCAGGTGGGGGCCGTGCCCGCGTGAAGCTGGGGAGGCCGTGCAAGGGACAGCGAGCTCCTCTCCCGGCTGCTGCGGCCCGCGGGCGGGGACGCACTGCCTTCTGTGGCGCTGGGCAGGGCTCGGTTCTCGGGGCCGCGGGGCCGCACGTGTTCCCGGCCAGCCCTGCACGGGAGGCGCTCCGCTGGGGCCGGGGCCTGGCGTGGGGGGTGGGTTCTGAGCGAGACCCAGTTGGATGCGCTGAGATAGTGTCTTCAGCATCTCGTCCAAGCAGTGAGTCGGCCCGGACCGGACAGGGCTTTGGGAGGACGACCAGCCACGTGTACAGCATGGGGTGCTGTGTCATTACACACGTGTGCACGCACGCAACACGCATGCACACGTGTGGGCAGACGCGCCTGCATACCTCACACATGCACACGTGCACACGTATCACACATACGTGCGTACCACAGACGTGCACACAGATGCACGCACACTCACACACAGGCACGTTTCGGCCCCAGAACAGCTTCCCTCCATCCCGGCCCGGCCCCCTCCCCAGGTCCTCGGGGCCAGAAGAAGTCCTCTCCCGCCAGACCCGTGTCCGGCCACGCCCGGGTCTCTCCGTCCTCCCTGCTTCTACGACGTTCCTGTTGTTTCCTGCAATCCCACAATCTGGGGAGGCAGGAGAGGACAGTCCAGTCTGAAAACTGCTCGTTTGCAGGGACCGGAGGCTGGTGCGGGAGTTTTCACTTCCCACCTTGGAGGTGCCCGGGCCCACCTTGGGGAGACAGCCAGGGCTCCGCCCCAGACGCTGGGACACACCCTGTGAGGTGTTTCCCCACACCTGTCTCCCCCCGCCCAGGGCCCGAGACTCACGAATACTGGCCACCACTCACCACCGCGTGCCTGTTTGCCTACTGACAGTGACTGTGCCTTTCTTCGTGACGGCACAGACCCCTCTCGGGTCACGATGAAGGACACATCCTTGCCCTGCTTTGCAATGTAGCGTCAGGGCTGTGTTACGGTACGGGGCCGTCTTCTAGGGCTGCCGGAACAAAATACCAGGGGCTGGGGCTTAATCAGCAGAATCTTTGCGAAGGTTCCAGAGCCTGGAGGTCCGAGATCAAGCTGTCAGCAGCTTTGGCTTCTCCCGAGCTCTCTCCTTGGCTCGCAAATGCCCGTGTCCCTGGTGTCCCTTCCTGTTCTTATGAACCTATTGGATCGGGGTCGCCCTTGGGACCCCGGGTAACCTTAATTACCTCCTCAAAGATACCTCGTGTCTTGAAATAGTCATGCTGAGGATGAGGGCTTCGACATGGATTTAGGGTCGGGGGGGGCACCATTCGGTCCACAGCACACACAGACCCTGACCTCAAGAAATCCCACGTCTAAACCGGAGAGCTGAAATGAGCATCCAGTGCATCAAGGGAGGGCACGGATGGCAAAAATCAGTGTCAAAACATGCCCTTAAATGCTTGCTAAGCGTCTGTAGGAACACTAACCACGTACCGGAAATAGAAATGTTCAAAAGTGAACTCATCACCGCAGGGCATTCCTCTGCCGTTGAAGCAGGTGAACCTTCATTCTCCCCCTGTATCAGTCAGGCGGCAGTAGGGCAAGCGGCAGTAACAAACAGCCCCAGTTCTCACGTGTGTTCTTACTTCTTGCTGGTCCACAGAGCCGCCCTTCTCACCGTCATTCAGAGCCTCGGGCCGGTGAAGCAGCTACCGTCTGAGTAATTCCGGCCGCTCTGCCTCAGGAACGGAGAGCCCGTCCCTCCGTGAAGGCGGGGAATCGCTCTAGTCCAGGAGTGACACACGCCGTGCCAGCTCACAACTGACTGGCCAGATTCGTCACACAGCTCCCAGCAACCACACAGGCTGTGTGCAGGAAGCACAGTTTCATGGTGTGTCCGAGGTGGCCAGAGGCCAGAAGGCGAGGGGTCTGTAGCTTTGTGCACGAGTCAGCCTCGTGGGACCCTCTGCAGGGCAGAGTGGGTCTGGAGGGACCCCCAGAAGACACTCGGCGCGTGACCTACACCCCGACACGTCTGCAGCTGGGCCCCCCGGCCTGTGCTGCCTACCTGGCCGCAATTCAAATAGGGAGCCTGGACTCAGTCTGAGTCCCTGACACCTGACGCTTCCTGCCCCCATTTGGAACCCCAGTGACGGGTAACTCTCTGCTCCCGTGGTTTATGCCATTGGCTGGAGAGACACATCCAATGTCCACCCAGTCTGAACCTTGCTGTGATTCAGTCCAGGGATGGGACGTGTCGGGGAGAGGATCGTGGGTGTGTGCGTGTGCGTGCGCACCTGCAGTGACCGTTAGGAAGCTAATCACAATTAATCCACGAGGGAGTTTGCTGCCTTAATGAAGCCATTAGCCAAAGACCATTCTGAGAGAGAAAATGTGAAGTCTGAACTCTGAGCACATTACCTGTAATGAACCTGAAAATGGACTTGGGGAATTTCCGCGGTATTCTTAGCATCCGTAATAGCCGGTGGGCGAGCCGCCAGATCGCGGCCCCAGCTCCCGGGAATCCTGCGGACCCAGGAGAAGACACGGCAGAGGCTTATTTAAGGGCTGGCTTCTGGGTACAAGCATCAGAGAGAGGCTGGGGCTCCACTTAGAACTGATGACTCTTCCAGCTGTGCTCCTGTCTAATGCAAAAGGTCATTTCTGTGTCAGTTGCTTCCCTGGAGAAAGAAGCGAGAAAAATCTCTTTCCTTCCAACTCCCGCTTCAAAGTGGGGCAGTGCTTCTGGAGAGGGACTTCGAGAGAAGTTGGCCCAGAGGGAAAAGGTGTTAATAGAGGTAGGGAAGCATTACGAAAGTGCGAGCCCGTAGTGCCCACAGACTCAGAAGGCGCTTTCTTTATCACTTTGAAAATCACTACATGTGACGCTAATCATTTTGCATGAAGCCAGGAAGGACACGATGAACCGAGGTCCCCATAGCTGCGATGGAGTGGGCTCTCCAGGGCAGGACAAGAAGAGCCTGTGGTCTGCATAAAAGTCTGCAGAAAGATCCCAGCGGTCTGGTGCCCCTCACCAAGGTGTAGTGACCGTGGCCACCGGGGATTAAAAGTGACCTGGCTCACCGGTGTCGTAGCGGAACACCCGCCATTGCTCTTTGCCGGGAGGAACCTCTTCCTTCTTCTTCTGATGGTGGCCTTTCTCCTGTTGGACTCCGTCTTGGTAGGCTTGTGAATCAAAGGGGAGCCATCCTCCCCGGGATAAGGGATGGCCATTTAACCCGACCAGACTCCCCCCACCCCACACCCAGGGAATTTAGATAGATCATCTACGGAGTGACTCAGGAGACAAATGGCCGAAGCCATTCACTGCACTCCACTCTGGAGATCCTGTCCCTTCCTGGCTTTCAGTGTCCCGCAAGCTGATCTGGGCCCTGCCTTTCCAAGGCCCCTTTCAGCTTCTCCGTTAACCCTGGGAGTGGCCCAGGACCCAACGGGTAAGAACCTGCATTAGCCTCCTGTTGCCATACCAAATTAACAGCTCCTCCTTATATTACAGTCCTGGACACCAGAAGTCAGAAATGAGCCTTTATGGAGCTGAATTCAAGGTGTCAGCAGGGCTGTGTTCCCTCTGGAGGACCTAGGGAAGGGTCTGTCTTTTTCCAGAAACTAGAAACCATCCACGTCTCTTGGGTCATGAGGACATCACTCTGACCTCTCCTTCTGTCCCTGCCTCACTCCTCTTCCTCTGACCCTCTTATAAGGACTTATGATTCCATTGGGTCCTGCCCCCAGATAATCCAGGATAGTCTGCCCTTCTTAAGATCCTTGACTTGACCACAACCACAAAGTCCCCTAATACCATGTAAGGGAAAAGACTCACTGGTTCCGGAGATTAGAACAGGGCGGGCCTCTGGGTGGGAAGGACTCACCTGATTCCATTTCTGTTGCCTACAACCAAACCCTAACTGGTACATAACTTCTACTCTCTCTCTACAAAAGGAGAATTAATAATTTTTGACTTTGGTAGCTGGAAACCAAGAAGGCGGCCGTAAATAAACGAAATTGTAATGTTCTTGGAAAGTTCTTCCAAAGAATGGCCTTTTTTGCCCCAAATCCCAAAGTCAGTGCTATGGTGTCTTGTCCAAACAAACACAGCCTGGCAGATACTTGGGGAACTTCCCACTTGTGTCCAAGAGCGCTGAGCATATCAGCCCCCTTGACCCAGCTCTGTCTGGTTCTTCTGACAGGACACTGAGATTCTCAACACCGCCATACTCACAGGAAAGACCGTAGCCCTGCCCATCAAGGTGGTCTCTGTGGAGGAGAACGGTGCCGTGACGGATATCTCAGAGCTGGTGGAGTGCAAGTCCGCAGACGAGGATGTCCTCAAGGTAAGCAGCCCCACTGATCAGTCACCTGGGTTGAAATGATGGGACCTGTTGGGGCACACCCCATTCACAAAGAGGGGTCAGCACCAGGAAGTATGAAGTCCAATCACACGACCACTCTTCCAGCTCCAAACCCAGTTTGGAGTGTGGTCTGCTTTGGAGCGTGGCTCAAACCCCAGATACTTCCAATAACCGAGCTGGTGACACGGCGGGTGAAGTGGTCAGGGCAGACGGACACGCCCCACACTAGCTGGGCATCCGGAGTTCGTCTCCTGCTGATCTGGTCCCCAGTAAACGGGAGATCAGTATCGCCATTCCTTCAAGAGAAGCCGCAAATTTGCGCTTTATGTAAAAGTCACGTGTTCGCAAATTTGGGATTTATGTAAAAGTCGCCCGTTTTTCAGTGTTGGCCACCAGTTGTAACTTTTTTTTAATGGGCAAAAAAATAAAATACATCTGCAATGTGAGTCTGGCCCAGGCAGCTGTCCAAACCTCTGTTCTGTTGGGCAGACCATGAACCGGGAGTCAACTCCAGCCCCCTGATCGTTGTGTAAATAAAGTTTTATTGGGACACGACCGCTCAAATCTATCTCTGTACTGTCTGCGGTGGCTTTGGCACGACCACAGGAGTGACAGGCAGTTGTGACCGAGACCATCTGGCCCGCAACTCTAAAATATTTGTTACTTTGCCCACGCCAAGGAAAAGTTTGCCTAGAGCAACCCCTGCTGTGGAGTTTAAGTTTCGTGAGGGAACGACCCGAATTCTTGGTCTTTCCCACCACATTTGCTGGGATAATGTACTCACAGCGCTGGCTCCAGGGATAAGACAGCATAAGGGCTTTTCCAAGCCAGAAACGAAGCTTCTGGTCTTTCTCCAGATGAGAGAGATCTCCAGATCTTTCTCCCAGATGCATTGGGTCTTTATGTATTCTTGTAGGTATGTCTCTGGGATTACAAAAGATGTAATCTCCAGCATCTCAAGGAAGAGAGGCTTTTCCCCAATTCCCCCAAAAGTGATCTATGGGCTAAGGGCAGCCCCAAAGCCACACACCCAAAAAGCTGGTGGCGGGAGGGGCGGGGATGAAGTTCTAAACCATACTGTTCAACATGAGCACAAATATGGGCCACACATGTCGTTTAAAATTCTCCGTCACGTTCACGAAAGGGAGAGCAGGTGAAGGTAATTTTTTAGATGTCTGTGTTTAAGCCATTATATTAAAAACATTATCATCTCAACATGTGATCGATATAAAAATCATGAACGCGCTGTTTCGTACTCGGTGGGGCCCAGTCGCTTCGAATCTACGGACAGTGCGTGTCTGTTACTTTTCCATGTCAGGGCTTCCTGGCCACCGTGGCGAGCGGCTTCCCCGTTGGACTGCTAAGATCTGAACCCGGGGCAGGATTTTGCAACGTCGGCACTATGCTGGTGTTTTGTGCCAGATAATTCTTTGTTAGGGGGCTGTCCTGTGAGACGGATTCCTGCCTCCTACGCCAATACATACATGCCTGTCACACGCCCTGAATGGTGAAAACCAAAATTGTCTCCAGTCATTGCAAAATGTCCCCTGGTGGGCAAAATTTCTTCCACTGAGAACCGTGCTCTGTTTCTGGCTGAACAGTCACCCCACTTCCTTGTGGCCGAATCACCCCCACTTTGTTGGTGAGGCCGAGGTGGGGAGGAGTCTCTTGGTTGGAGCTGGAGCCCTCCCTGCCCCGGCCACCATCACGTACCAGATCCCTGGTGGCCATTGGTTCTCATTACTGATCTGTGATGGGCACTGGGGAGGGCACCTGTTGGGATGAGCACTGGGTGTTATATGGAAACCAATTTGACAGTAAATTGTATTTAATGTTAAAAAAAAAAAAAAAAAGAGCCAGGACCTCTGGGACACCTGGGTGGCTCAGTCGGTTAAGCATCCGACTCTTGGTTTGGGCTCAGGTCATGATGCAATGACCATACAGAACCTGCTTGGGATTTTCTCTCTCTCTCTGCCTCTCCCTCATTCGCACTGTCTCTATCTCTCTCAAAAATAAATAAATTAAAAAAGTGTTTTTTAAAGAGCCAGGACCCCTGATGACTTTTCTAGATGGATAAGAAGGGCATCTGTTAGCCTGAAAAATCCCAGAACCAATTTTTACCGCAGTTGTGGGTAGAATCATCCTTAGCTTCTCTTCTAGGAGTTTGTCATGGAGTCCATTACCAATATTTCCAGAAGCATAATCAGCGTCTTCAGAGAAACAAATGTATTCGAACCAGAAATTGCCCCTGGAATGAATTTGGAGCAGGCTGCCCCTGGCTGTTGACAAAGCCACGTGACATCCTGCACTCAAACTCAGTCCCCAGGACCCCGATTCGGCCAGTGGTTTGGGGTCTGGCGGGGTCGGCGATGCTCGCAGAGCTGGTCTGTCACAGCGCAGGGTTCCACGGAGAGGACACGGGGCAGGGGATGTGTAGTCAGTGTCTCCCCTGCAGCAGGTGTGTGCAGGGCTAGATTGGGACGGCCCTGAGTTCCGCAAAGGACTGGAGACTCTGAGATCCACGCCGCGCCTCCGACGAGCCAGCCTGCGCAGTTTGCGGGCAGAAGACGCGACTCCTGGTCAGGGACGTAGGGCATCCAGGGAGTTTGCGCCTTCCCGCACCAGATGCCTGAGCGCCTCTCCCCACAGGGTCATGCCACGGGCCATGCCGGGACACCTGCATACGTAGGCTGTAAGGAGCCCTGGACTTAGGGGACCTGAGTCCTTTATAAAAGGCACATTATGGGCTGAACGTTGGTGTCCCCCCCAAATTCATACGTTGAACCCTTCATCCCCCCCCACCCATGTGATGGCGTGAGGAGGTAGCACCTTCGGGGCTGATTAGGTTTGGATGAGGTCATGAGGGTCGGGCCCCTGTGGTGGGATTGGTGTTTTTGGGAACAGAGGAAGCCACGAGAGGTCTCTCATAGACGGCGGCGTGAGGTCACAGCGAGAGGGCGGCTGTTGGGAAGCCAGGAGGAGGGCTGGGCCGCAGAGCCGGTCCGTGCTGGCACCTTGATGGGGGACGTCCAGCCTCCGGAACCGTGAGGGATAGAGTCTCCTGCGTGAGCCGCCCGGTCTGTGGGGTTCTGTCCAAGCAGGGCCAGGCGGACAGGGGCAGAAAGCCCGCTCGCCTCCCCCGCCCTGGAGAGAGACGGCGTCCCTGTTCTGTTTTGCCACAAGCATGCCCGCCCTCTGCTCGACAAGGGCGCACCGGGGCTGTTCGCGAGACGAACATCCGGGACAAGACCATTCAGACAACGGCAGCCGAGGCTTTGTAGGGTGCCGGAAGTTCAAGGGTGCCGTGGGGAGTTTCTTCTAAAACGTTCTTGCTTTGCCTTTCCGGGCTCCACGGTCTTGGGCAGCTCACACGTTCCGTCCACCTCCAGGTCTCCTTCAGAAAGTGGGGACAGTCACGGTGCGTGATTCAAAAGGCCGTTGTAAGGACTACCAGGTTTTATTAATCCAGTGAAGACTTGGCCACTAGGTCAAGTGGAAAGGACTGGACTCTGACCCCGGTTGGCTCGGGCAGTCCCCTCGATAGCCCCATGTGGTCGGTCAGGGGCTGCAGACAGAGCACCTACAGGTATCATCTGTGTGGTGTGCAGAGTATGGCTTAAGAAAATCAGAATTTCCACCTATTTCAAGTGTGCAGCCCAACGATATTTAAGTAAACTTACTGGGTTGGGCAACCATCACTCTGACCCAGTTTTAGAATATTTTTGTCACCCCATTTACCGTTAATCCCATTCCCACCCGTAGCCCTGGGCAACCGCTAATCTACTTTCTGTCTCTACAGATTTGCCTTTTTTTGGACATTTCACATAAATGGAATCCTACAATATGTGGTCTCTTATTAAAACAGTTCGGTGATCATTTCTTACACGTCTCTTGACACATCTAGGTGTAGCCGCACGTACAGAGACAATTTTTTAAAAGATGGGATCATGTCAAAGGTTTTTTAGCCGCAGTTTTTTAACTGGCAAAGCTACACACACACACACACACACACACACACACACACACACACACACACACACACCTGCCAGCCAGCCTTCCTCCACGATGATGTGATCACACACGTAGCTCGAACACACAGATAAGGATCGAACACACAGAACACGTAGCATTCACACCGTTGTGTCTGCCCCCTTCTCGCGCCCTGCGATGCCTCCCGAGAGCCCCGGCTGGTGGGGGTTCGAGAACGGAGGCACCACAGGAGCCGAGGGGTCCGGTGTGCTGTGTGCTCAGCGTGTGGGTTTGCAGGCGTCAGACTGTGAGGGCGGGAGGCCGTGGGACATCCACGAGCGTCTGTGCGGGTTTCCTGGGCGGGGGAGGAAGACCAGTGTCCCGAGCGGGTCAGGGATTTGCTGTCGGGCAATAGCAGAGGAGACGGCGTGCCGTGGACAAGCCCCCCCGGCTCCCCGCACCCACGGAGTGCTTTTGCCCACATTTGTGCACACCTCCGGCATAAGGCCGTGTCCTGTAGCCGAGGACAGGGCATAGGACGCTCTGCAGAGGCATCTTGCTCGCGGTCCTCGAGGTGGCGGTCTCTTAACGGTGTGGTTGAATCACACGCTGGTGTCTAGGTCCCCTTCCGGTAAGAATGACAGGTGATGACGAGGCACACGGGGGGCGGGGCTGGAGAGGGCCCGGGGCGAGGGACGCTCTGGATGGAGCGGTGTCTGAAAAGGACACATCTGGGCCACTTGGCAGGGAGACGACAACTGTCAGTGCCCACTGTAACCCTGTCTCCCCACTTGCACCACGCCGTCTGCGTACCCCCTCATCCTTAGGACGAGACACCGGGGCACCCCACCCTGTGCCTCCTGAGTAACCCCGACCCCGGCCTGCTGCTGCCCTCCTGTGCCTTCCCCGGGGGCTCCTGGGGTCACAGGTGGCGAGGCCCCGCCCACAAGAGGCTGGCAATGCTGAGATTCCGGGCATCGTTAGCAAAAGTCCCTTTACTGGATTTCCAGGGCTGACCTCCAGGGCCCGGCCCGGCTGCTGGCCCTGGTGCAGAGCTAAAGGGGATGCGTGTGGGCAGCCAGCTGCCCAGCTCTCCCGGTGACGAGTGCCTGTGATGGCTCCTGTACGTGCAGGACGACCCTGCTGGGGCGGAGGCCTCGGTTTCCCGTGGTTGCTGCTCCTGGGGGCCCGAAACGTCCTCTCTCTTGCATGTGCTGGTGGTTCCACGAGCTGAGTCCATGGGAAGCTGGGCTCTTAGCAGCAGCCCGAAGTCGTTGGTCTGCGAGGCCCTGGGGTGGCGCCCCTCGCCCAGGGGAACGTGGGCAGGGTTTCCGTGGGGGGAAGAGTGCTCCCCACTGTGCTCCTCGCACCCAAGGGCTCTGGGAGAAGCATCTTCAGCCCCAAGAGCCACTGGGTTCTGGGCGAAAGCAAACCAAGGACCGCAAGGAAGTTTCTGGAATGCAGGGGCTCTTGCTGCCCACGTCCCCAGTGTGGGTCAGGTGCACGCCCGCTGCCGGCCTCTTCGTCCAGCTCCGGTTCTGTCCGCTGCAAAACCGCGAGACAGAGTGTTAACACACTTGTGCAGGCAGAGCGGGTGGATGGTGTGTTCATGGCAGCGTCTCCTGCATCCAGGGCAGACCCAGGGCCCCCCAGGGGACATGGGGCGACGTTCGGAGACCTTTGGGATGGTAGTGACTCAGACAGAGGGGCTACTGGAGTCTGGTGGCTGAAGTCCAAGGGTGCTGCGAAGGGTCCAGATCCCAAAGAATCATCCGGGCCCCGATGTCGATGGCCCCGGACCATCCAGGACCTTCGGGTTTTACCATCAGATTTTGGTTTTCTTCTAAGAGAAGCAGGATGCTGCAGGATACCCTGATTTGGATTTCAGAGAGATCTCTCCGGCAACGCTGGGGTCAACGCTACGATAAATTCATTTTACAGATAAGGAGGCTGAGGCCCAGAGAGGCCAAGCGACTTGCCCAAGGCCACACAGCCAGAAGACGGCAGATCCAAGATTGCAGCGCAGGTCTGCCTGATCCCCGGCCCGGCGCACACGGTCTGAGGCGTGTCTCCCAGCCAGATGTGAAGATTTGCCTCAAGCTGCACGGTAAATCAAGTAAAGTGGAATTGGCAGCTGCCCAGCTGTGCGGGTGACACGTGGCCAGCGTCTCCTGCTGGACGGCACCCATACAGGACGTTCCCAACGTCACACCGACCCGGAGCCTTCGACTGGTAGGAGCCGTGCCGTGCTCTCACTCCTACGAGGGCGTGATGGACAGAAGTAGGTGCCCGGGACTGGCCGGCAGAGGTCAGGTGGCTCCGAGCCTCCGTCTGACGCTGCAAAGAAGAGCCTGTTCTAATAAAAGACGTTTGCAAAAGATAAGGTCGTTTATTTGCGAGTTAGATTTTAGTGGAGTCCAGGGAGGCTCTGTCCGCATTTGCCTAACGAGCCACAGGGGTTTCAAAGCGCCAGGAATCCTGCAGCTGGGAGGGAGTGGCCTTTGCATGGATGAGACGTTTCTGGCCAGCTCCGTGAAGCGTGGGGGACAGAAGTCTGGGTCGGAACCACGTGGCTGGCTTGCCTCGGGAGGGTTGGGTCTGGGTAGCAGCTCTCCCGTGCTGGCTTCCTCTGCCAGGTACGAAACGTCCTCTCCCTCTGTGGCCTCTCTGCTGAAATCAGTCTGAAAACAGAGATTTGGTCTCAGGCAGCACTGAAGCCTGCCCAGTGGTCCATCATGACTTCATCAAGGGCGATGTGCTTGTTGAGTGACTCAGACTCTCAAATTGGCTTCGTAAGTCAGGGGAGAAACTGTCTCGTGCACGGAGGTTCGGGGGCAGATGCCAGTCTCTGCATCTCTGAGCTCTGTCTCGGCTTGTGCAGGTGTCATTCTGAGCCCCCATATGGCGGGCCCCGGAGCCCGGAGGTCCTCAGCCTCCCAGGTTCAAGTGCAGCGGAGATCGGCTGCTACCTCGGCTCGGTCAAAAATCCAGCGACTTCCTGCCACTGAGGTCGAGACCGACCCAAGCACAGGGACCGAGCGTGTGGATCAGCGGAGGCTCCCCTGAGGATATTTTTGAAACTCTGGCCGAAAATGAAACGAGCAGATGTCGGGGCAGCGAAAATAACGGACGTCCCCGGTGTGTGAGCTGGAACCTAGGTTACTCCTATTTGCTCCCTCTTCCTCCCATGAAGCGCTGCCCTTAGAGGATTAATAATGTCGGGCAGTGTCAGCCCATGACCGTCGTGCCTTTTTAGCGGTGCCCCATCGTGTCCTCCTTGCTGGGATGCGGTGGAAAGATGCAGTGTGTGCCCATGGGTGATGCCCGGCACGGCTCTGCCCCTCGTATCCGACACCATGATTTTCGTTCACAGACAACGTCACCCAAACTGAATTAAGCCGAAAAGGGAAATTGTTGGCTCCTCTATCCGAACAGGAAGAGATCCCTGGCTTCAGGAGTGGCTGGATCCAGGGGCTCAGCATTTTTACATCTCTGTCTCTTGCCTCGGTATCCTTTGTGCCGGCTGAATGCTCGGACAAGTTGTTCTAGGTCAGGATGGCTGCAAATGGCTACAAAACCCTGTTTTCACATGTAGAATTTCAGCAGAAATGAGCAAATGCCTTTGGCCCAGCCTGAAAAGCTCCTGAGATCACCTCTGTCTGCACCAGCTTAGCTCATGTGCTCAACCCTGCAGCCAGGAGCTGGGACCAGAAGGATGTAAGGCTCTGCTTGGATTAGGACGTGGTCACATGACCCTCCTCTTGAGGCTGGAGGCGGGGCTTCATCCAAACCTCCAGATGGGACCAGCAGGAGGGGACCATCCCCTAATGAAACAGGGGCTGAGGACAAGGACAGGTGCCTAGAGAGGGTTCCCTCCCCTCCCATCCCCTTACTCCTCGCCATCCAACCTTTCCGTGCCCTGGGACCGTCCTTCCATTTCTTAATTTGGCCAGGGTTAGAAAAAAGGGCCTTTCCAGCCCGGCCCAGGGGTGGTTTTGCCTCCTTAATTTTTCTTGGTGACATCAGCCAAAGCCCTGACCTACCCTGACGGAGCCAGAGAACAAGAGGGGGCAGTGGAGTCTGAATTCTCTGGAATCTTCCGGCAGACCTGTGCGCCGAGCTCTCCCAGGGGGACACGGCCCTGCCTTTGCCTGTGAAAGCCCCTGGATAATCGTCCAGGAAATGGACACTTGGTGTGCAGAAGGCTTAAACGAGCTGATCCCAACTCAGAAGAGGAAATGAGGACCGGATGAAAACACCTGGCAGGTGAATACAGCAGACTCACTTGAAACTCGGACACACTGGCCTTCCAGCTTCATCTGGCCCCCGAGCTCCCAGAGGGGACACAGGTGTGGTCACGGCCACCCCTCCCCGGATTCCCCATCCATCGTGTGGCTGGATTGTTTCCATCCTGGCTGCCTGGGTCCCCCCGTGATTAAACCCTCTGCTCCTCCCTCCCAGTGACAGAGGTGACAGCACGGAGTTCAGGCGACGGCTGCTGCTTCCGTCCCCGGGCAGCTCCTCCAGGCCTGGGGGCTCGAAGAGAAGCCATGTGGCCCTCCTGTCATCACAGGACTGCTCCGCGCCTCGGGTCCCGCATCCCAGGATTTTCGGGTCCCAGGTGACATCACCATCTGCCCAACCCTCCACAGATTCCCCGTTTGCTAAGAGGATAGAGACTAAATTAAACCTTCTCGGCACACACGGGTCCACACGTGTGATGGGAACTGTGTCCGAGGCAGGTGCAGTGCTTAGCTGGACCACGGCGATCTCTTCACGGTGCGTACAAATATCAGAACGTCAAGGCGTCCGTCTCAAATACCTAGGACTTTGATGCGGCCAAAATACCTCAGTAGCGTCTCAAAGAAAATCAAAGAAGGCTTCTTCCTTCAGGAAACACTATGTTAGTCCTAATGTGCCAAGGTGACAAACATTCAGCTCTGCTCTTAAAATCACACGAGTTAGGGGCGCCTGGGGGCTCAGTTGGTTAAGCCGCCGACTCTTGATTTCAGCTCAGGTCATGATCTCACAGTCCGTGGGTTTGAGCCCCGAGTCGGGCTCTGTGCTTACAGCTCAGAACCTGGATCCTGCTTCGGATTCTGTGTCTGCCTCTCTCTCTCTTCCCCTCCCCAATGTTCTCTCTCTCTCTCTCTCTCTCTCAAATAAACATTAAAAAAATCTAAAATCACACGAGTTATTGTGCATGAGTATGTGAGAGCGACTTCTCAAAAGACAAGGAAAGGAATCGAGTGTACTAAGTCTCCTGCCTGTGAGCGCCTAGGAACGGAGACCTCACGGAGGGGGGACCATGTCATCTCAGACCTCAGGAAGTGTCTTTATAGCCATTGTTCTTTTTAATTCAAAAGTGGAAGAGTTAAGGTAACTTTTCACCGATTACGTTGGCAAAGATCATCAAAAAACAGAAAAGAGGAGCCTTTGTGGAGCCAGACAACTGCTTTCACATGCAAATCCGAGTGCTACTGGCTGTGTGACCTTGGACAAGCGGCTCAGCCTCTCTGTGCCCCAGGCTCCTCACCTGTAAGGTGGCTTGTGTGGGGACAAAAGCACATGTGGTTCGGAGCAGAATCTGGCATACAGAAGGCACTTAATACGTGCTAGCGCTTCTCATCGGCCCTCTCCTCCTGGGACCTTCTTCCCCCAGGTGTCCAGGGCTTCCACCTTCCGCCAGGCAGGACTCTGTCTGAACGTCACCTCCCGAGAGGTCTTCCTGTGCGTGTTCTCCGTCCTTAGCGGGTCCTTAGGTCATCATGCTCTCGGTGTGCGTCACCTGCGGTTAGTTCTTTGTTTGCTTGTTCTCATCTGTGGCCATAACGTGTGCACGAAATGTAACTTCCGGAGAGGGGTCTCTTGCCTCCCTCTTCCCGTGTCCAGCACCTGCGAACGTGCCTGGAGCAGAGCAGGGGCACG